TTTTGGCAAGCTCTAAGACAGGAAGAATATTAAGAAGAAATATTGTTACAAGCAAGTGGCCAAATTTAAATGGAACTATTAGGGAAACTGGCAATTTATTTAAGCAGCAACGCTTTCTATTACGAGTATTGCTGATCTTATATTTTATATTAATTTAATATTATAAATAATTTTTCTAGTTATTTTTTTAAAATTGAGAGAGAGAGAGGGACCTAATTTAGTATACGACTTTTCATATTGATGATATGACATTAATTTTAAGGAGCTACTTTTGCTAACTGATATGAGTTTTTATCGTTCTATATCGAACGTTCGAATCGAACGTTCTATATTTTTATATTTTTAATAAAAGTAACAGAAACGTAAATTAAAAAACTCGATGTCAAAAATGTATAGTTTTTTTATATTTTTGAAATACTGTAAACAAATTTTAAATTTGAATACCTAAATTAAGCTACCTAAATTAATTTTTTTAGTTTAGTTTGGTTTGGTTTGGTTCAGTAATATAAATTCAAATTCAATTACATTGACAGCTTAATATCGGAAAGGGTCAATATCGACTCTGAAATTCAGCACAGGATTAGCAGCGTCTCAAGTGTATTCTGAAAATTAAAAGACAAGGTTTTCTACAATCATGACTTCTTCAAAAAATCTTGAGCATCATGAGCACCAAAACGAAACTTGCGGTGTAACGAACAATAATAATCTCCACCATATTATATGGAAGCAAAACCTGGGTGCCGAACCACCGACACATGAAGGCCTTAAACAAGTTTCAACTGAGACACCTTAGACAACTCTCATGAATCAATTGGTTCCACCCCAAGTAGCATCTATCTGACTTCGAACTAAATCTGACCTGAAGCGACGTCAGACTTTGTGAAAACTTAGGTCGGGTGCTGGTGATACGACCGGTGACGTAGCTTTCCTATTAAAAGCGACGTCGTAAGTCGGTAAATCCAACGATCTGTCGACGTACAAAATAACAACGTACCGTTTTTATTAATTTTCCAACGTCGTTCCCACGTTGGCTTGCACGACGTACATATACTTGAACTAGCCCGACGTCTACCCGTTGTCCGAATAGGATACGTCTCACTGATAATCTCTAAAGTAACGTCCAATTATATTTTGTTGTATTTACGTATCTCTATTTACGTCCGTACATACAACCAATTAAGTAGCATTTGCGGCCTCATAAACATCATGAACATAACCTAATAAAAAGTTTTTGTAAATAAACTTATTTTTTTTTTTATTATGCCTAATAAAACACTAAAAAGGCATTCATCTACATTTTACAGAAAGAGGTCGAGGCTTGTGCAAAAAAATCTTAAAAAAGTGGCTGTCCATTTTTTTAAGGAGAAAACAAAAACTAAAGTATAATGGCACAAATCCACAAATCACTGATAAGCAAAGTGAGGTTACTCCTACGAAACCGTTGATCGCAAATTTTACGTTGGAATTATATGTCATAATACGATTGCCGGGCGTCCGGTTTGATGACTTCGGTCGTGTGAGACGACTAATGTTGGAGACCCGGTCGGAATTGGTATATTGGTAGTTCATATTAAGTCGGACACAGAAATCCGCCATTCTTAACAAGTATGCGATTGGCAGCCATTTTAAAATCGTTTTTTGCTTTTAAAATTTATATTCACATTTCGATTTCTAGTAGAATAATATTGATAAGGTTGAGTTTAGGAGGAACCACAGTACAGTTTTATGATTAAACCAGCTAGAAAATAAAAAAAATATATTTTGCGAGTTACTTTTTTATAGATATTTTTATTTCATAAATCTACATAATTTTGAAGGCGCTCGTTGTTTTCCGGAGTATTTTAATCAGATATATTAAAAAAGTGACTTCCGTTGACAAAACTGATGTCTGGATTAATGATTCAGAATTATTATAATATGAAATTAGGTAGGCACTTATAGTTATATTCGAGGAGTGATTATAAATCCATTTGTAATTAGGTATACAAATGTCATTGGGAAAATTTTTATGTATTCTTGGTAGCGAATTTGAAACCAAACGTAACGTAAGTGCTTAGAGACGAATTTTAAGTGACTGAAATCCAACGTAATATGACGTTGGTAATTGGTAGAATTAAATTTCCTATTAGGTCAAATACCGACGTCGAGGCGACCCGAATCTGTATTCCCCATTTAGGTGCAAATAAAGGTCATCAGGCGGTCGAACCGACCGACGCACATTGGTTCAGATTCAAAAAAATCGACGCATAGGGATCAAGAAAAAAATTTCGAAAACTTCAACAATGATATTATTTTCAACAGATGATGGGTCCATTTATTCAAATTTATCACGATCCACTTTTTAATCGTAATAAAAAAGCGTACAGGAATGTTGTTTTCGTTAGATTTTGTAGTTTAAATATATCAGTTATTTGCTGTTAATGGTTTTGTGTTGCTAATATATTTTGGTTCTTAGTTCAGAGACTTGGAAATAAATTTAATTATAATGGATTTTGAAGATCAAGGTAAGTACTTTTTAAGAGAATTTTATTAACTTAAATATTTTTTTATGAAGCTAGTGGTTACCACAAACATAGCAGAGCGTTCTTCTGAAAAAAATTAAACTTTGAAATTGCGTACCTTTAGAACTCTGCAGATCTCCGCTTCTGTATTTTATAATTTTTGAAACGGTATTATACCAAGTTTAATTTACCACAAGTATCTTACCCCAAGAGACCCCGAGGTAGATGATATATAAATTAAAATTTTAAATTGACTAGTAGTCTGATTTTTGTTCCATGGATAATTTCTTAAATTATTATACTAATATTTTTTGAATAACTCTGGAGTGGTAAAAGTGTAACTACAGAGACTCACATGTTCCTCCCGTACTCTATTCCTTTTATTTTTAGGAACAATAAGCCGCATATCAATATGTGAGCGGTTTTTGAAAATGGGTTTTAATAATAGGTCAGAAGCGGATATTATTGATGAAATTATTTCATTTTTGTGTGATAATAATATTCCTCTAACATATTATCGAAAAAAAAGCAAATTGAAAATTTTGTTTAAAAATGGTCAGAAAAGTGGAGGAAATGTAATTATACTTGGAGCAGTTTTGTTTCCAACAATTGTCTCTGGCTGAATAAAAATTTACTTCAAATGGAAGAGAATCAATCTTTTCATGACTCTGGCCCTTCAAGAAGAATTTTTTTTCAGAATTGTTCCAAAAAAAAATAAAGAGACCAAAGGTATATATTGCCAAGGAATTAAATTATAATATCTTACAGAAAAAAAACATGTTTTTTTATCTACATAATGCTGCAAATATTGCAGTATTGCTTTTAATTAATGGCAAAGATTAAAAATCAATTTATTTCTAGAAATTAGAGATTCTTGCACCTCAGAAGTTCTGGCATATGCTACAGTTTCTAATTTAAGGAAGGAACATAAAAATGAGACGTCAAAAGCAGTCCAACTAGGGTTTGAATTTCCAGAGAAAGTAGTCGCCACTAAAAATAGGTGAAGATTTACCTGCAGATGGCACTCATATGGCAACAGAATATTATTGTCAATCAGATAGTGAAGAAAAACTAGAAGAAAGTGGTGGTGAATCATGTCATGAAGAAAATGAGTTTGAAGACTCCATTTAACGCATATTGCAATTTATGTTTTTTTCTTTAATTTAGACCAGATAACCTAATGGGTATTCTTTTTTGACTAGGTTCGAAGCATTTTTCAAACCTTCTTAAAAGCTATAATTTTTGAATAAAATTCATAGAAAATCCCCCTTTTTTAATATTTGTATACTAAAGAAACTTAGTCTAAAATATATTTTGTTTATTCCTTGGACTATCCTTGTCATGTTAATAAATCCGCCATTAAACCTAATAAGTCTAGAATTTGTAATAAAATTAAAAATATCCTATGCGCCACTTTTTGGCAATCTAAACCACTGTGCGACGTTGGTACCCGACGTCGGGTTTATTGAACGCGACGTATACCCGACGTTAGATAACGTCCAAATGCTACTTGGGCCATGTCTCAAACGTATCGGTCCTTGAATAAGGTAGGTGTGAGAGCACTGAAGTCATGATTACTAAATCCCGCTTAAGATGGACTACATGCAGGATGCAAAAAAACCGCCTACCTAAATATCTTCTTTACGGTGCGTTTGTAGACGGTAAGAGGAAACCGGGTGGTCAAATGTCTCAAACGTATCGGTCCATGAATAAGGTAGGTGTGAGAGCACTGAAGTCATGATTACTAAATCCCGCTTAAGATGGGCTACATGCAGGATGCAAAAAAACCGCCTACCTAAATATCTTCTTTACGGTGCGTTTGTAGACGGTAAGAGGAAACCGGGTGGTCAACTCAAAAGGTACAATGGTATTTTCCACGAAAACTTACAGAGGATAAGCGTGTAAAATCAGTGGTAAGAAGCAGCGCAGAATAGAACGCAATGAAGAAAAATTATAAACTCAGTTAACAGCGACAACCAAAAAGTAAAGAGGCAAGTAATGAGATTTTTGAATGTCCGGAGTGCGAAAGAGAGATAACATGACGTATCGGGCTTTTCAGTCACAGAAAAGCTCACGAAAGGAGACGCCTTGCGTTGGTAGAAATCATCTTCTGTCAGCGAGTAATGACAGTAGTAGTAGTATGCCGGTAATATAAAACTAAACAAATACTTAATGGCTACCAAGCGAATACAGAAAGATTACCAAATTTTTACAAAAAAAATAACAGAACAGAAACGACCATTTACGTTGACATTTACGACCTGCTTAACATAACTCTTGTACTTAGTAACCGCCTATACAAGAGCCTTACCGAGACCGTTCCTCAACAACCCTGTTCATCACCTCCACAGTGCGTCTATAAATATACGGTTCCGACTTCGTTTGTTTCATCTCGCCGCCCTCCGCTCCAACCGAAATAGCAGGCGGCGAGCGTCCCGACGCGCGTTTCTCAGCCGCGGACGCCTCCGTCCCGACGCCCAATTAGTGAACAAACGGGCGGCGTCGGTAAGATATCGCGGAACGGGCAGGGAACACGTGCGAGCACACGTGGCACTGTGTCGGAAGTTTTAAACAAACAGAAAGAAGTTTGAAGAAGAGTAAAAGGAAAAAGGATAGAAAGAAATAGAATAAAATGAAGGAATCTTGGGAATAAAGAGGAAATACAGTAAATGAAGAGATATATGATGATGGTAATACCTGTTGATTTTTTGATGATAACCGACGGCGACGCCTGGATTCATTAAAGTTGTGCCTTAAAGAGTTAGTAATGTGCGTAATAAGATGTATTTTTAAAGGTTATACTGATTTGATGTTGATTACAGTTGCTTTTTACTATTAAACTTAAATATACAGGGTGAGTCTTAAATAACAGTATATATTTGTAGGGCTGGTAGACCTCGATAAATTAAATATACAGGGTGTCCCAGAAATAAGTGCAAGTATTTTAACCGGTAGTATAGTTCAACCCCAGAAACATGCCTATGAGGTTTTTTTCGCAAAAATCTTCTTGAAAATTCGGATTTTTTTTTTTAGTTTTTAGTTAAAAAACATAATATCTTGATAATATCGCAACATAGGTAGTAGATTAAATTAACAAGAAAGAAAATCGAGAGAAGATCCAGCGGTTCTCAAAATTTTAGCAAAAAATTCTTTTTTTTGAAATTTTCAAAGTAAAATTACTCCGTTATTTTGGACTTATTTGAAAAACGATAAAGAGAAAATGTTTCTCTTATCGAGATCTACCACCCCTTATAATACTTGCACTTATTTCTGGGACACCCTGTCTATTCTTTTTGCCGTTTTTCAAATTCAAAAGTTTCAAAATAGCCCAGTTATATTACTTCGAAAATTTATTAAAATTATATTTTGCTTAAATTTTGAGAATCATTGGACTTCTTTCTGTGTTTTTATTTCTTCAGCGTACCATAGGATCGAAAAAAAAACGGCGTCAAAGACGGCTGGGGAATGACAATAGTTGATAACTTTGGCGAGGTCGAGCCCTAGACCTCATTACTTTGCCCGAATTCTTCTTTATTTGTTAACGGCACTTACTGCCAGTTGGTGCTAAGAAGGTTGTCATTTATTTTTATATTGAGTAAAAATGATTAATAAATGGCGTAGATTCGAGAAAAAATATTTTTTTTTGGAAATAGATCTTTGTGTCTAGAAACGTTCAATCCTTTTTTAATCTTTCTGAAATTAGTGTTAATTTTTCACATTTTTATGTCAATTTCTAGTAAATGACGTCTAAAGATAGACCTATTTTATATGTTTAAGACCATATAAACAAAAATGTGTCCTTTTATCAGGAGCATTCATTTTTAAATTATTTTACAGGATAAGAAAAAAACAAAATGCATTTAAATAAATACTAGTAGAGCGTAGAATGTAGAATGAGTGGGAGGAGGGTTAATCACTGACACCTTAAAGATTTATTGTGTCCCCCTTTGTTAAGTTATAACTCATCATACAGTCTAAAGTTATGATAAAAACTAATTTATCATAAAACATTTATATTCTAGGTAATTTTAATTTATTGCCTGTCTGATACAGTTAATGCAGATTTTTTGAGCATTAGAAGCATTCTACCCTTCTTCATCTATAATAAGCCTTTCTTCATAACCTTGGTGAACATTTACAGCCTATTGTGTGTATTCTCAGATAATGTTCTAAGTCGTTACATCTGGTGGGTCATACTCATTAGTCCCACATATTCTTTTCATTGGTTGTGTGAAATTCCAGTAAGCTTCAAGTTCGTTTATATATGGTACGGCAATAGTGCGTCCAGCAATAGTACTCCTAACATAAAAAACTTGGTCCGTACTCTTATTTATTTTTTAATGTTGCTTACTGCCAATTGGTCTTAAAAAGATTCTCATTTATTTTTATATTGAATAAAAATAATTTTTAAATGGTATAGTGTAAAATTCGAGATTTTTTTTTAAATAGATTTGTGTCCGGAATCGTTTAATCCTTTTTCAATCTTTCCAAAATTAGTGTTAATTTTTTACATGTTTTATGTCAATTTTTAATAAATGATGTCTAGAAAGTTCAAAAACTTTGCTAAAATTATCATCGATTGTCATTCCCACCCATCTTTTACACCGTTATTTTTTGATCATGCGGTACTACCAATGATACCATATTATCAAGATATCATATTCTTTAACTGAGACTTAAAATTTTTGCAAAAACATTTTCGAAAAATATAAAATTTTTATTTTTTTTGTGAAAAAAACTTAAGACATTTGGAATCGAAAAAACCTGGGATCGAAGTATACCATACCTAAAAATATGTGCACTTATTTAAGACTCACCCTGTATCAAGTAATACATATAAACAATTTTTTTTTATTGTTAGAAGTTCACTTAGTAGTTAAGTGGTTAGTTCTTGTCTTAATTTAATATTTGGGTTTTTCAAATATTCTGAATGTCTAGTTATATTTAGTTGGACTGTCAGTATATTTCTTCAGAAATTAATTTGTCGACTTGTGATCTAAAATATAAATACTAGTAGAGTATTATTTTTACCAATAATGACAAACATAAACATCTACAATACACATTTAAAATATTAAGGTAGGTCATGGCAAGACAATGTTGCTGTGTATCATTTAAGCTGTATTCTATTTCTTATCTTAGTTATGGCTTTTGTTCCGTTTCTATGTTTTGCCTGACATTTTATTATTACGGAACACGGTTCGTGATAGACATCTGTCACTATTGTCGCCAAATTAACCAGCGCAAAATGCTATTTTTTCCTGGCCGGTCTAGATATAAAAAAATAAATCAGTCTCTTATATTTGTTATAAAGAAACTTCAACCGCCTGATAAGTTTAACTTATCATTTTCAAATTATTTTTCAACATTATAAGTTCAATAATAAGAGTATTGAAATTTGGGAAACTTATTGGTCAATATTTTACATTCCTACCATTTTGAAAATTACTCCGTATTTTACCAATGTTTTTCAGAAACGGATCTGTACGATAGTAGGATCTGTACGGTAGTAATATGGTTTTACAACGGAATAGAGTCTTAAATGGTAGTGGTAATTAAGTTAAATTTTTGAATATGTCATAAATTGTTGTTTATTAATAGGTTCACATTGTTTATAATACATGACAATGTGAGCTATTTGAGAATATTATAAAAAGACAAATTAATTTCTTTGCATATATGAAGTATCGCATTTTAAAAACTAAAGATTAATCATTGTTTCAAGAATGTGTGTAAAGAAATTCTGCTTTTACCTATTTGATAAGTTGTGAGGTAGATTAGATAAATAGTCAGATATCTATACTATAGGGTCGGCATTTCTGGCCTTGGGTGCCGATTTTCGTGTGTACGAAGAGTACGGTCAACATGCTTAATAAAATAAGATGTACTGAATGATATTAATCAAAACAGCTAAAAGCTGTGTAAGTTAAAATAAATAAAAGAGGATAAAATTCCAAAATTCTTTTAGTATCAATAATAGTACGCATAATACATATATAAAACGGACATAAACCAACTCACTACAAACACTAATAAATATCATGAACGGGGTCAAGGAATTCCAATTTAATTTTAACTTTGTTCTACTTACCGGATGATAGTTCACAAAACGTGCTTGACCACAGACAAATAAATAGAGATGAAATTCGTTAAACAGTGTTATTAGCAGATATATTTTCATGTTTGTATGATATGTCAAGGTGGTTGACAGTTTGATCATTTACAAAAATGAGCAGAATTCTAAACGGAAATACTTATCTTTGGAAAATTTATATAAAAAAGCTATATACCACAACCGCAATGTCTAGGGATATTTTAAATATATGCGTATAATTTTATTTTAAACCGTTGTTTAACTTTTTTTTTATTATAGATATACAAAATTAACTTGTAATTTAGTGAAACAAATCAAAAACTTTCAAACAACAGTTTATTTTCCCAAAAAAACGAAAATTTTGAAAATGGCAAAAAATGTATGAAAATTAAACAACATTTCTAAATTGTAAAAATAAACACAAGTATGGTTCAATAATTGGTATGACCTCGGCACCGTCTGGGCATGCTCAGAATAAGGTTGTCCATGTCTCGCGAAGCGTTAAAAAAGAATTCTTATGTTTTCTCTTGGTCTTTCCATACGAAGAAGCCTTCTGCCAAGAATGTCCCACATGTGATCGATGGGGTTTAGGTTGGGGAACTGTGCTGGCTATGGTAACACATCAATATTGCTGTTCTCCAAAAATCCCGTTGCAATCCTGGAAGTATGGGGTCTGGCATTATCATCCATAAACAAAGTTGGGACCAATCCCTGCTGCATATGGAACAACAACTGGTGCCAGTATCTGATCCACTTATGATCGACCAGTCAAAAAATTCTCCAGCAAAATGAGGTCGGTCCTTCCTCCGATACTGATTCCTCCTCAGACCATAACTGCCCCCCCTTGAAAAGAGTGCACTTCCTGGACATTGCGGAGGCGGTTTGCATTGTTATGCTCTCTCCACACGCGAACTCTTCTAGAATCAGGATAAATTCCAAACCGGGATTCATCACTGAAAATCACTCTTGCCCAATTTTCATTTTGCCACAAAGAATGTTCCTGTGCCCACAAAAGTCGGAGTCCTCGATTGCCCCATGATAATGGTTGAACTCTCAAAGGTCGACGACTACGTAGGTTCTTTTCATGCAAGCGACGACGCACACTATCGGCCGAAACTTCAGCATTAAGTACTTGTTGGAGCATGATTTGCAGTTCTGGTGCAGTCACAGTAGGGCGCCTTCGAGCATTAAGTTGCAAAAAACGGTCCTGTACAGGGGTTGTAATACGAGCGCGACCCCGGTGCCTTTCCCTCACATCTTCCTCTTCTCGATATCGTGCATAAAGTCTTGAAATTACGCTATGAGTAGTGCCAATTTCGACGGCAACCTGAGTTTGCGTCATGCCACCATCCAAAAGGCCCATGGCCCTAATCATTTCTTCTCTAGTCAAATGTCTTCACTCCATGGGTAACCAGAACTAATACTTTTTTGCACGAATAAAATTTAAAGCAAGCAATGCATTTTTGTAGGGAGAATTAAAATAAAACTATCGACGAAGGAAGTAAAAATGGTAAAGTCGATTGTAAACAGTCTAAAATGATGATAAAGTAGTCGTCTTTTTATATGCATAGGAAATAATTGACCCGTCACTACATTCGTTATATTTCAGCCAAGTACTAAATTATCCTTAGACATTGCGTTTGTGAACTATATGTCAAAAAAGCAGTATATTTAA